GAATGAGAGTTTCAAAGCATGATTGTTTCTCTGTATCTGCCATCCCTCCTGGAAATAACAACGTGAGATTATAGGTTTATGTAGTAATTATTTTTTTCACTAGACAATAAAAAATAATCACTGTGGGGAGATCTTCCCTCCTAAGTTGCTCAGTATTCCACTCCATAGTTCTTCAGGTGCAATTTCTGTAATGTGAGTGGAATGGGCAGATGAATCTCTTCCTTATTGCTTTTCTTTGCACTTCTCTCTCTTGTTAAAAGTCTTTTCTCATGCCTCTCTCTCAAAGGGAACCTGACAATCCTACTCTCATTTTACTTCTGAACATCTGAAATGAGATGTAGTCTAGTGTCAAGAACTTTCCATTCATCTTCCCCTGTCCACCCACCCAAAGTCATGTATGTAATGAATGATCTGGCAGTGAGGCAACCAAGACCATAGGGTTCTATCCACACATTTTAATTGGCTGATGTTTAAAGGAAAACAAAGAATAACTGAACTTGGAAGAGGTCTCTGGAGTACACCTTAACCCACTCCCTGCACAAGCAGGGTCATCTCTAGCAAGTAGCCCAGCACTAGGTCCAGACTGGTTTTGAACTTCTGTAAGGAAGGAGAATCTACAGCTCCTTGGGTTAACCTGCTTCTGTACTTTGTCACCCTCATGGTAAAAAATTGTTTCCTTGTGTTCAGAGGGAGCCTCCTGTGTTTCAGTTTGTGCTGTTCACTTCTGGGCCTGTCACTGAAAAGAGCCTGGCTCTGTCCTCTTTGCTTCCTGCCTTCAGCTGTTTGTACTCATTCATGACATTGCTGGAAGCCTTCTCCGCTCCAGACTGAGCAGTCCCATCTCTATCAGCCTCTCCTCCATGGGAAATACTCCATCCCCTTCACCATCTTTATGGCCCTCTGCTGGATTCTCTCCAGTACGTTAATGTCTCTAGTGTACTGAGGAGCCTGGAACTCAACACCAAAGCTGAGTAGAAGATAAAGATCATCTGCTTTGCTGCAGAATTCCTCAAGGTCTCCAGGACCTAAAGTTCCTAAAGGCTGGTCTTGCTAGTAAAGACTGATGTGGAGAACTTGTCCTGTGTCACCCAGCAGCTGACCCACATTTTCTCTAGTCTTTGAGCCACTTCTGTTGTTAGAGAAACACTTCTCACTTTTGAAATCCTGTGCCAGATGTGATTCCAGGTAGGCTCTGGCTTTCCTAGCCATATGTCTACGTGTTTGGACAATGCCTCTATGTTCCTCTCAGGCTACCTGTCCATGCTTTTGTCTCCTTGTACTTCCTTTCTGTGCTAGGAGTTCTGTTCAAACATGCAGGCCTGTTGGCATTTTTTTGCCAGAATTTGTGCTTGTTGGGATGGACTGCTTTTGCACCTGGAAGAGGTAACCCTTGCACATGAACTAGCTTTTTTGAGTCACTCTTCCCTCCAGGGCATTATCCTACAGGACTCCTCCAGATCACCCAAGTGGTCACATCTGTTTCCCCAGAGTTCAGTGTTATGAATTTGCTTTTTGCTCTGGTCACTGCACTCTGGATCTTGAACTCCATCATGTCGTGGTCACAGGTAGACATTGAAAGCCATCTGAGACACACTGGTGTAGCCAAGACATCAGTCAACCCTGGTCTGGCACATGTGATCATATTACTGAAAGTTCTTTCATTGATGGAACAGCTGCAGTGAAGTTTTATTTCTTCAGTTTAGTTAGCTCTAGTGGAGTGCTTATTAGTGAACCTATGTGGCTGCTTCACTCTGCTTAAGTTAAATAAAGGACAAGGGAATATTTGACCTGGAGATGTTGAAAGGAAGAGATATGTTTACATTAATCTGCTACTTTACTGTAAATGGCAACTGTATCAAAATTGCTTCAAAAACAGGCCAGATTCCATCTTAAATGTGGTTAGGCTTTTAATTTTTATTTTTTTCTTTTTTGTCTGCTGCTCATAGTTGAAGTTTTTCTCAGAAGCCTGCTACTTTAGTTGGTGGAAATATTCTTGTTTAAACCTGTAATTTAATGTAAAGTCACCTGCTCTCATGCTGTCATTACTCTTGAGCCTAAATAAACAATTCTTCATGGAGTGACTCTTACAGTTCTGGGATTGCATTCAAAAGTAGATGCTGCCCCAATGAGTAAGAGATCTCTTAGGCAGCAAGGAATCAGCTCAGTGTGACAAGACAAAAGGCATTGGGCACTGTGCAGTGCTTGGGGAAACAGCAATACACTGCCTTTGCATGTGGCTCAGACATACAATGCCAAGCACAGTGCATGGACAGTGAAATTAGATTTTGTGAGGCAGTGAAGAACAGGTGTAAGTATTTGGTCACTAGTGCTTGTTACACATACCTGTTCCAAAGTGTTGTCCCTATAGCAGGGTACTGCATCAGTGATGTGAGCAGGTAATATTGTTATCCATTAGCTGGCAACAGATCCCTGTCCAGAGGCTTGTGTTCTTGCTCTCTGTGTTGGTTGGTTTTTACAAGCAGCTTTTGAATGTTTATGGTCACGTGGAGTGACTGCCTGTAACATGGATGAAATCTTGCATGGCCTTTTAAGCAACAGAGGTGCTCTTACTTACATAGACTGCCTTTCTTTAGTGAGGTGCTGCATCTAACACCAGTTTTGTTCCATTGGATAAAACCTACAGCACTGCACTTGTGCTTTTACTACCTTTGGCTAATTCATCAACAGTGTGCCATCTCTGCAGACCTCATCCCTGCATCCCCTGGCTCAACAGCAAGTTGCCTGTGGACTTGAAAGAACTGTGTAAAAATAAATGTTTATTTATTTTAACACAACATGTTTGTTTTAAAATTAATTTTGTTTACTAGATACCAGACAAATTCTTAATTTACATCTTTGCTAGCTTTTCATATGATTTGTAATTGGGCTAAAGGTTAATTTACCTGAAATCTTTTTGCACTGTCCCTGTAGGTTAAATACAGTTTTGTACTTCAGGGGTCTGTAGTGTCTACAGATTTTCCTTTAGTATCACATACATGGTAGACATTACCATTACCTGTTCATTTTTGGTATTGTAACTAGCAGCAAGGTCATTGTCCTACTTGATATCAGGTTGTAATGCTGAATGAAAGAAAGGAGGGGCCTGGCTTGACAAGTGGAATGAATGTGTCATTAGTTCTAAGCCTCAACAAAAACTCAAAGAGTTTGATGCAAGAAAAAACAGATGAGATAAAAGCACTTTTAAGAAAATAAAGACCTTCACATTAAGTTTAGCATTCTCAAACTTGAAATAAAGAAAGAAAGATCCCTGAAATTTTGGTTGAATGGCTGTGCAGTGTGTTGGATGAGAACTTCACACTCACACTACTTGTAGTTTCAGTATGGGTGCATTTGCCAAGAAGTGTAAATATTATAGTCTACATTTGTGTCTGTTAAGAGAGCCTAAAGTTAGTGAAAGGTATAATTTATAAAGTGGGTAAAATCTTACATACTCTTTTTTGTCCATACAAACATATGGACATACCTCTCCATATGGGAATAATTATTATTTTTGCTGGATAAAGGCCTGAAGGCAAAGGCAGTTGGACTTTTCTTACCATTATCCGTCACATGGAAAAATTACAGTCTCTTCTTCCCCTTTCCTTTCCACATGCTAATGTATCACACACTGATTGTTGTCATTTTTTGAGTGGTGGAAAGAAACAGTGTTCCCCTATCTAATAGCTATCACTCAGTTATTGAAGTCCCCTTTACGGTCTGACCTGTTCCAGGACTTATCATTCTTATCTGTATACATGTGGAGGTTGCTCTGCATCCAAGAAGAATTCTGACAGAGAAGGTGAAGTATTAAAAGAGGCATAAATCTGATGGGACACCACAGATGTTATTGGCTGTTATTTCTGGACTCCGCCTGTAGCTGCAAAGGGGATTGAACACATATGATCCTAATTTCATATAATGCCTCTATGCAATATTCTTCTCTTACTTGCTTTGCTTTTTTTTTGGTAACTTTCTGCTATCCTCAGTCCTTTATATTCTGTTTATGGTAACCACTAGAACAGTTCTGCTCTTGAGGGTGTCTCTTGACATCAAATGCTTATCTGTGGTCTATCTGAAAGTTTCCTTATAAATGCTCTTTATTGTGAAATTAATGAACCAAATGTCAGCTGCAAATGAACTTTTACATAAGCTGGTTAGTAGTCCATAAAATCTAAAAGAGCTGTATCTATTTATAGAGAAAATCAGCTTTAGAAAACTTGTGTAAAAATAGTAAAAGCTGTATCCTAGCACTTCAGTGTAAGGTCCAAGCACCTCCTATTAGGCAATTCAGCAAAGTCTCTTTGCCAAACCTAGAATATGCCATACTCCCATATAGTTAATAAATTATTTTTTTGTTTTCTTTCCCTGTAGGATGGATTTCCATCCTTGTTTCAGCTTGTTGCATATACATATTCCTATGCATTTTCAGATTAAATTTGACTAATTAACATGCTTTTATCCATTACTGGGAAGTTTTCAGACCTACAGGAAAAATAATAGGACTGCCAGCCTTAGTGTCTGCTCAGTTTTAATGCAAAATCAGCAATGGTTGTGTATATTACTTTAAGCAATGAAACTGTTGTAGGCAGCATAAAAAATCCAATTTTGTGTCTGTGTTGGGGGGGAAGGAGGTGTGGGTAACTGTTTGATATTTCAAGACAAATCACTTGGCTGGGCTCTTTGGCTTCTCCAATTTAAAAGCTCTTTGAGTGAATAATGAGAAGACAATGATTCAAGGTGGCCAAAGCTGTCTCAGGACTGGTTCTCTTTCATCTGCCAGTGAATCAATTTAAGCACTTACATACAGAATAAAACAAACTGTTTTGAAATGGCAACTTTAGCAAAATATACTCCATTAAGCACCAAAACCAGTAGTAGCTCTGTGCAATAACTTCTCCCAGCAGTAGCAGCACAAGTTAAATATAAATAAGATTATAGTGTTTCTGAAATCTGAATTAATGATTTTCCTGCTTTTGCCTCTCTTATTTTCCTCCTCTTAGCCTGTGCCCCTGGTTTCTTCAAAGTATCTGTGGGAGATGACCCCTGCCACCTGTGCCCTGCCCACAGCCACGCTCCACTGCCAGGTTCCCGGGAATGTGTGTGTCAGAACCGGTACTACCGATCTGCTTCAGACAATTCTGATGCTCCCTGCACTGGTAAGTGTTTGGATGAAGTGTTTGGAAGCAAGAAGGGCAGTTAATGAGAGAGAATGTGTCCAAATGATTGGGGGGTTTGCAGTTCACCTATTCTCAAGACCTTTGAAGTAACCAGTCCTGCACCTGACTACAGAGTGATGGTGAGAATGAGGATTCTTGGGTTTCATTACAGCCTTCAGAGGGAAATGATCTGTAAATAATGTTTCCCTTGCCCCTCCCTGTTACTGAGCTCAGCCTCTCTGTCCCAGCCTTTCCCATCTTCTTTTGTGTCTGTGCCCAGGCTTAGCAGTGCAATTCTGCTGCCTACTTCTACCTTTCTGAACTTTTCACTTCTTAGGTGCAGTGTCTTGTCCCATTCTCATCCCCATGCCTTCTTCTCACCCATTGCATTTTCCTCCTCTTCACTGTCTCTGTGTCATCAAGGGAAGTGTTGGATGCACAGAATGGGCAGTTTTTCAGCTGTCAGAGTTTAGCTCTGATGCCGTTGAGGAATCTGGCTGGCACCAGGAATAACTGCAGGCAAAACTGGTGTCCAGTTCCTGGAACAGATGCAACAGGTTAACTGAAGTCTGAGAAAGTTCAGAGATATTAGGTGCCAAAGGAGAGAATTACAGGTCTCAGTGAGAGAAATCTTTACTGAGCTTGTGTAAAGTTTAAAATTTTAAGGGATTGGCACTTCCCTAAGCCATGGCTGTTCTTTTAAGGACATGAAAAAGTCACACCCTTGAAACATACACTCTTCTTTGTAATTTTGTTTGTCTAAAATGTGCTAATACAGTTATTCCTTTGTTAATGTGTGAGCTTGATGTAGCAAAGAGTGTGTTTTTCTGAGCCTCACTCCAAGAAACAACTAAAGAAGAGTAAGAATGAGAAGAAGGAGCAACTTGTTCTTCTATTCTTTTCCCTTTGCTTTGCCTCCTGCCTTCCCTCACCTCTCTCCCATTCTTTCATGGGATTCTGATCCTTTGTTCTGTTTTCTAGGCATCCCCTCTGCTCCTCGTGACCTCAGCTATGAAATCGTTGGTTCCAACGTGCTCCTGACCTGGCGCCTCCCGAAGGACCTGGGTGGCCGCAAGGACGTTTTCTTCAACGTGATCTGCAAGGTGTGCCCGGCGGGGTCAGCAGGGCCGTGCGTGCGCTGCGGGGACAGCGTCCAGTTCGAGCCACGCCAGGTGGGGCTGACCGAGAGCCGCGTGCAGGTCTCCAACCTCCTGGCCCGTGTGCACTACACCTTCGAGATCCAGGCCGTCAACTTGGTGACTGAGCTGAGCTCAGAAGCACCCCACTTTGCCACCATCAATGTTAGCACCAGCCAGTCAGGTGAGGAGACCCCTGCATCTGAGTCCCAAAGTTTCTACTCCTGTCTTTCATTTGATTTTCTTTTATCTTTTGAATCCTGGAATTTTGTCTTTTTACTTGCCTCTTGTGCCTTTTTTTAATCCTGCCCTGCTAGTTCCACGGTTTCACTTTTGCCCGTCTCATTCCTGCCTTATCTAAATGGGCTTTCCATTCTTCCCTCTTGGTAGAAAAGCTCAAGTTTAGCAGCTGATGTGATTGTTGGGGAAGAAGCTGCCCTGGAGAAGATTCCAATGGGAGATAATAGCGCTGTGGCTCAGACAAAGCACATTGTTTCATTGTGCAAGAGAGGGGACACTATCAGGGTTTGATGAGGATTTTGTGAGCGTCGGTTTGCCAGGGGAGCTATTCATTTTCTCTATCCCCTACTCTTCTCCATTTCATCGTCTTATTTTCCTCTTAGTAAGAAACAAATTTTTTTTTTTTTTTTGCTCTTTACATGGTAGAAATATTAAAATGTGTTGTGCGGTTACATTCAAAGATGTCGTGATCCTTGTAACTAGAAACTAAACCGTGGGGATGACTAAACTAAGATACTAATGGGTTGTGTGGGCAGTCAGAGGAGTTCTATTTCCTGTAAACATCATTTACAGGGACTTGAGCTGGAGAGAGACACATACATCCAGGCAGAGAAATCCGTTAAATGTCAGCATTAAGAGACTGGGCATATGTTGTTCTTCACACGGATGTATAAGCTAATACAGAGAGGAATTATACACAGCTTGTTTAAGAAGACATAATGAGGAGTAATGTGATGAAGAGGAGAAAGAGGGGGAACATTTTGAACTGAGTGACAGAAAATGTCTGCAAACATTTAGAGTTGTGTAAATGTTAAACTGAAACAAATCCCGCATGAGATTCCAGAGTGTAGTGTGGAAACCCCTGCAAAACAAGGTTTTGGTAAAGCTCCAGAGTAGTGCTGTGAAACCAGATGTGGCATCATGGGCTTGGTTAAATCACGTCTTATCATTTGTACTTCTATTATATGGAAAGAAAGGGAATATATATACCCCCCCAACTAATTTCCTACTGCTAACAGATGCCAAGGGGTTGATCTGTTTGTTCCCTTTGAAATGTTATCTGACAGACATCAAGTACCAAAGCACCTCTGGGATTCCTGGTCCCCTTAAGACGCTGGCTGCAAGTGGGTGATCAATTTTTGTTTACAGTAAAATGTGTCTGGGTAATTTGTATGGTAATTCCAGGCAGTTCCTTTGGCTTCTCTTGGTGAAAGGTGGGTGTTCTACTAAGATCTCATCCTCTCATCTCAACCTTCTTTATCTATATCAGAGATAACTGAATTGAGGAGCTGCTTCCTCCTCCTTCTCGGAATCACAAAATCTACCCTCTTCTGTTTCTGTTTGAATTTTCTGACCACTCCTCTTCCAGGTTTCTTGTAGTGTCTCTGGGTGTCTTGGGTGTGTTGGGTGCTTCTCCCTAAGGTGCCTCTCTTGTGCAGTATAGCTGTTTCAGGGGAGGACAACTTACTTAAACTTCAGTGTGTACTGAGTGGCTTCTTGTGTTTGGTCGCAGTTTTTCTTTCCTTGCTTTCCTTGGGATTGTTGGGAGTGAGCTTGAGATGAGCTGCCCTCGATTTGTACTGACAGCTCATACTAACAAGGCCCTGCTTCCTCCATCACGTGGCCTGTCTTGTCCATACCCCCTCCTTTTGATCCCTTCAGCATCTTTTCACTTTAGCATTGCTTGTTGATGTTGTGTTGTTGTTGTTGCTATTATTATTATTATTATTATTATTATTATTATTATTATTATTATTATTATTATTATTATTCTTCAAGCAGATATGTAAGTTTCAAGATTTTACATGCTGAGAGAAAAAGGGTACAGGAAAACATGGAGGGTATTTTAAAAAAAAAAGCAAACCAGAAAAAGGTAGAGTGTCAGGATAAAGGGCCAAAGCAAAAATTTTCTCTCCATTGAATTAAAGATGACCCAAAAAAAGACCCTCCAGTCCTGGCAGTTTCTGAAGATTCTGCTTACTCATACATGCGTCTGAGTTCTCTCTCTCCTCCTAATTGCTGGTCCAAAAAATATTCCTGCCCCTTTGTTAGAGGTATCTTTGGCAATGTTCTGTGTGGAAACACAGACTTTTCTTTTTCTTCTTCCCATGATACCTATTCACTCATCTTTGTCTCCAAAACGCTGTTCCTCCAAGAGTTTGCTTACCCCTCACAGCCTTCTGGCCCTTCTTCAGAGCATGATAGGATCCTTTGGTTACACAATCACATTTTTCTGTGGCAGACTGATCATGATGTTCCTACTCTTCAGTGACCACGTGCTTGAAATCAGAATTAGAAGGGCTGGCACTGAAAAACCTCCTTTACTGTAAGACTTAACCTGAAATGTGAGACCTGTTTGGATTGCAGTAATAAAACCTGTTTGGATAGTAATATTGTGAAATGCAAATATGATATGCTAATCACCGGAAGAACTGTACAGAGATGAGACAAGAGAAGGGAATTGCTTTCAGCTCAGGTTTGAAGTGCTGAGGGTGAATACCTAAATAAATGTCAGGATGTATAGAGAGATGTTGGAAGGCTGTTCCAGATAGCATGAACCACATGATGAAAGGCAATTATGTAATTCTAATGAAGTTATATTTCTTCGCAGGTGTGAACCTGACACACAAAAATGCAAAGAACTTAAACTCCTAGCATATTATTACAAAAAATAAAACTGACTACATTTTTATGCATTATTTTAACATCTGCAAGTGTACTTATCAGGGTAAACAAATATCTCTTCTCATGTCTCAGGACAGAAATCAGGTTTTTATTTAAAGGACTGTGAAAAAACTTTTTCTATGCACAGCTGTAACTACCCGTAACTACCATTTTTTCCCTGCAGCTTTCACTGAAGCATGTAGTAATGCCTGTTGCCAGAGAAATGCTACTGAACTTATTTGTTCAGGCAGTTGTTACATTCCTAGAAAGAAGAGGAAAAAAGAAAGGCAGCAGAGATTTAAATGTTGGAACAAATCAATGCAGACTTTTAAAAGCCAAAGTATATTGGTTGTTTTTTTAGCTGAGTCCAGACATTCTGAGAGCTAGTTGAGGTATGTGAAGATAAAGGTTATCTGACCAGGTTGCCTTGTACCTGTGAAAATATATGTAGCAGCCTTCTGCATCAGTGGGAATCAGAGAAGTGGGACCTAGCAATACCAGAAATCTGTAGCGCTGCAGAAATGAGTGCTAGACAGTCAGAAGGATTGTGTAAGAGGCTGAATGGGGACAAGGACACTTTTGGGTAGTGCCAGAAAGTTTAAGAGGACCTGACAGAAGATTTTCACATGAAATGGTGTGATAAGAGGAAAGGAATTAAATGCCAAGTATGATTATGAGATTGTGAAGGGAAATGATGAATTGCTTGAAGATGTTTGCTTTTCCAAAGAGAGCCAAAAGAGTACAATAGACTTAGCTGGCAAAAGCAGGGACAAAGGCAAGGCATTTTCTAGTTCAAAACAAGAAAGAAATAAGAATAGAGCTGTCAAAAGCTACATGCTGTTGTGTTTTGCCAGGTTAAAGCCAGCAGCAAGTAGTGTGAGTGTTCATTGTCCTCTGAATGAAATACATCGTTTTTCAGTAGTTAGCTGTTGGCTTATTTATGATCTAATTGCCAACCCTGAGCACTCACCAAAGTTCCCTAAGAATTCAACTTTCTTGTTTTCTATTCATGTGGGAACAACTAAAACACATTTTTTCCTTAGTGGCATAAATGACATTTGTCAACTTAGCCATCTTTAATGGATTTGCTGAGCTATGACTGGTAATTAATAACAATTTCTATAATCACTCCACAAAAAGGAGCTACTCCAGTTTCTCTCTTTACTATGCCTAATCTCTGCAACATAAGCAGAGAATGAATGTGCTTGTTTTCAAAAGTTAGGTTTCACTTACTGTTTAAATGAAGTCAGAAACCTTTTGAGCAAGTATAAAATACAATACAATAAAATACAATTAAGTATAAGTATAAAATACGAAGCAAAACACTTGTGTCATAAAAGGCTACTTTCCTTTTTATTAAGCATCAATGGAATGCATACAAAAAACTAATAACAAGAGTGGGAAGGGAATTTAAAATAACTGACTGATTTGCCCTTTTAAAGCACTTTTCATCCATAGGGAGCAAAAGTACAAGGTTGTGACAGAAGACTATCCAAGATACTTTTAAAGGATTTTTGGGTATTTAGAGAAAGGGCCAGAACTAAATTGAAATGTGTGGAAAAATGTAGGACATTTTCAAAATAAAGATAAAATAATAAACACACCAAGAAGGGAATTTCCATGCTGCATTCAGACTGATCTTCCTAGAAGATGATATTTGGGAAGCTGGAAAAAAGCTAGGAACAAGTCTAGGGTCTTCATGTCATCTGCCTGGAATATGAGAACAGGATACATGAAGAGGTAACGAAAGTGAAATAACTGTGAGAGAATGTAGAGCCAACGTTAGTGAACATTAGAGGCTGTTCTAGCTAACTGAGGTTAATCAAACTGCATAACTTCAGAAGATTGTGGGGCAAGATGGAAGGGGAAGAAAACACATAAATAACTAGATATAACACACAGGTCTTGGTAGGGTTTAGTTTGAATCCCAGCTGAGTGATGATCCACGAGCCATATAGCTCGAACTGCTATTGTACTCTGTGGGTATCTAGTCAGGACTGCTGAATGGATGTCTCCTCAGAACCAGAAAATGGCTAAGCTCGGAAGATACTTCTGGAGAACATATTCTCCAACCCATCTGCTCATCAGGGTCACCTCAGGCAAGTTTCCCCTGACCACACCCAGAACAGTTTTGAATATTGCCAAGGTTGGGGACTCAACAACCCCTTTGGATGAAGGTGAGGCTTAGCTGCCTGCATATCCCTGTATCCCCTTTCTTTCCCTTATGAGGAGAGGAGTGACATTTGTTTTCCACTAGTCCTCAGGCACCTCTCACAATCACAAAGGTGATGCTAAGATTATCAAGAGTGCCCTCAAAATGACATCAGGGCCCATGGAATTATGTACTTTGCCTAAATATTCAGCCACCTGATCTGGCATGAGGAAGATCTTCCCAGCTGGAGACTTCCCCAAGGTTTGCAGGACCTGGTGTTCCTAAAGGCAAGACTTGCTGGTAAAGACTGATGTGAAGAAGATGCCCTGTGTCACCAGGACCCCTGCACCACCCAGCAGTTGGCTCACATTTTCCCTGTTTCTTGAGCCACCTCTGTACTTAAAGAAACCCTTGTTGCTTTTGGCATGAGGTGCCAGATGAGATTCCAGGTAGGCTTTGGCTTTCCTAGCCATGTGTCTACGTGTTTGAACAGTGCCTCCATGTTCCTCTCAGGCTACCTGTCCATGCTTCCACTCTCTGTGTACTTCCTTTTTGTGTCTGAGTTTAGGTATGAGCTCCTTATTCAAACATGAAGGCCTGTTGGCATTTTTTGCCTGAATCCATGCTTGTTGGGATGGACTGCTTTTGCACCTGGAAGAAGTAGTCCTTTGCACATGAACTAGCTCTTCTGAGCCAGTCTTGTTTCCAGGGCATTATCCCATGGGACTCATCCAGACAGAACCACAAAGGGGTCACATTGGCTCTCCTGGAGTATCTTCCTAGAATGGAGTATGATCTGAATGTCACGTAACAAAAATGCTCATGGTCTGTCAAGAACAGCACTTGGCTGTGCTCTGCATAAGTGAGGGGTGCCATGTATTTTTACATGAGTCTTCTCTGCCTTCACATTCCTTCCTTGCCTAGTCTGTGCATTGAGATAGATTTTTAGTCTTGCAGGCACGTGTCTGCTGCCAGGAAAAAAATAGTCCTGCAATGTAGAAGGGTTGCAACTGACAACCCACAAAATACAGAATCTGGGAGTTGTATTTAACTGGTGTTTGCACTTCTTTACAGTTCTAACTAGGTTTATGTGGGCAAGAATTTTCCATACATTTGCTATTATTTAAATTGCATACAAAAAGAACTACTTTTTCAGTCTTAATAAAAGATCTGATCTCAAAGCATGTTGTTTTTTTTTCTCTCAGAGAATAGAATGGAATAGAATAGAGTAGAATAGAATAGAATAGAACAGAACAGACCAGTTGGAAATGAACCTACAATGATCATCTAGTCCAGCTGCCCAGATTGGATTGAATCAGGCACTGTGATTTCAGCAGCCATTAGATAGGGATCTAACACGTCTATGTCTAGAAATGTCATGTAAAAATAAAATAATAAAACAGACAAATCAATATAGACCTAGACACATTTGTGTATACAAAAGAAAGCTTTGAAAGCAAAGTTCTGTTATAAACATTTTTAGTAGTTGGCATGCAAACAAATGAAAATACTCATCTAACACTCCTGTGGTGGCAGAGGTATGGTACTTTGAATGTCTATAGACATAAAATCTTGAACTTTTTATTTCCTAATGTATTAACTCTGAGAGAATAACCTTATAATACACCTCTGAAAATAAGGAAATATGTACTTACTCCACCAACAATTATGTTTGCATTGCTCATCACCTTAGTATTAGTATTCATACCATGTTAGTATGAAATTTTTCAACAGAGAAATCTTGATATCTCTTTTACTTCAAGTGATGGAAGAGCTCCTTGGCCAGTGTTTCATGATTTTTTAGGTCATTAAAAGAGAGGCAAACGTATCAATATCTAAACTCTGCCTCAGAGAGGCAGATTAAAGACAACGTGCCTTGCAGTGATTCATGGCTGGTTTTATTTCTGATGGCTCTTTAATGTTTTTCATGGCTTTTTCTCTAAGCAGTGTCTGCTTATTAGGTGTAAATGACTGAAATTACTATTTTTAATAGAACAGACTGCAGTAACCTGGTTGCCTCCCCCCGTCACCATCTGATTACCCTGAGTGTTTGACATATATGGATAATAGAAACATTCTAGAATGCTGTGGCACATGGTCAAGAGATACACTTGAGTGATGTTTTTGTTATTTCTTTGTTTGATTAATTCTTCCAGGTAGGGGAAAAGTTTGGGATTGGAAAGAAATGAGAAGCAAGAGAAGAATAACAGTTAGAGGTGGAAAGGAGAGGAATTGAGGGAAGATTTAACTCTGATCATTCTGTAAAATCTTAGAAGGAAGTGGTCTGTTCACTGGCAATGTAGTTGCGCATTTAGGTTTGTGCCTCTCCTGTGTGTTTGCTTTGTGTCTCAGTGGAAGAGAGTTAAACTTTTTGGAACATTAAATGTAACAGAATCTGTCTTGGTCAAATGTTAACTGACCAGTTACCTCCTGACATTTTAATACAGGGTTATTCATTTGCATCTTAAATGCTACATATGGTCTTGGTTAATTATTGCTCTCTTCCATTCTTGTCACAACATTCTCATAGGCAGGTGAAGTAGTTGTGTAATCTTGTTTGAAGGACAAGCAATGGTAAAATATAAAAGGAGTAGTGAGGAGAGAAAGCATTTTATTGTTTAGACTCTTATTCTGTTTCATTTACATTTTTAAATTAGTTCCCACTTGCCTGAGCTGTTTGAAGCCCATCTGAAATATGTTTTTCAGAATAATTTTATCTTGTTATTAAAAACAATCCTTTTATCTTTTTCACCATTAGTGAGGGAAGAAAATGCTATTCTGCAGGTTTTGATCATTTGCCAAATGTCTCTGCTTCATTCTTCACATCAAGGAAGTTTATGTTTATTTTCTAAAATGGGTGGGGTTTGGTGGCAGCTTTTCATTGGCGTGCTTTTTCTGGAAAATTTAAATGTTGCTGAAAATGTTGCATCCATTAGGAAAATGAGGATACCTTAGCTGCTTACCTGTAAGTTTCTTGGCAACGTGACATTTTCATTGCAGAGAGAAAGCAAAACTTGAGAAGAGCTTTGTGGAAAGACAGCTGGCAGGATGAAAGATCCTCTTAAAATTGTCCTGAAATTTTTGCTTGGAAATCTCTTCCCAAGACACAATTCATACACTCTTAGCTTTTGCATGAACCCAGAGAGTGTGCATGTGTGTGTACATTGGTTCATGTATGGTTTTGGTAGAAGTGGATTTCCATTCTCCACAATGCTTCATATGCAAGGCCTCCACTACTCTGGTAGCCCATGCATGATTTTTTCCCCCCAGGAAAAGAATTACAGTCTGAGGGAGAAGCAGAAGAGAAGTAATGTGCTCTGCTTTTGTTCTGACCACTCTCATATTCTTTGTCCAAGCATGATCTTAAAACAAGGCAGTGGCATGGAGCACCTCATCTTACATGTAAAAATTGCACATTTGAGGATCAGAATTATATTCCAATGATAATATAGATAATTTCTTAACTTCTGTGCATAATCAGTTTGTTGCACAATATTAGGAATGGTGATAAGCATGACACTGACTCCCTTAGCTGCATTGTCCAAGAGAGCAAAGTTTATTATTCTTCATCTTCTTTTACACACGTGTTCGAGAAGGTCTGAGGGGTAAAACTCTCATTGGTCATTAAAGTAGCACATCACCATCATGGGTTAAGTGGAACATCACCCCTTGACTAAACAATGCCTACCGATTGCTGTCCTTTACCAAGGACTGTTTGGATTCCTTCTTATGCTTTCCCAGGCCAGAGCAAGAAGCCTGTGTGACTTAGTTTCACACAGGCTCTGTTCCCTGCTTGCTTTTTGCATCAGATATATAGATACAGATCAGTCGGATCTGGATTTCTTCATTTTATTTCAGTCTGAGTTGTCAATGACTGTATCTCCCAGTGGTGTAGTATCGTGCCTGGATTTCTTCTGGTTCCTTTACAAAGTACTTCATGATGGAAATTAAGGAAAATTAAAGGATGTGCTGGCCTAATTTATTAACTCATCATAAGGAATATTCAATTATAGCTCATTTTTAAGCTTATCCCTTTGCAATCTCTCCTTTTTGTCTTTTATTCCAGTCCCCTCTGCTGTGCCTATGATGCATCAGGTGAGTCGTACTACCAATAGCATCACTCTGTCGTGGCCTCAGCCAGACCAGCCCAATGGGATCATCCTGGATTACCAGCTACGCTACTTTGACAAGGTGAGCGAAAAGTGATACCGAGCACTTTCTGTCTGGGTGATGCACCCCTGCATCAGGATGAACAAGGTGGAAAAGAGTGCTTCAGTTATGAGAATGCAAAAAACTTTAGCAAGACCAGAAGTTTGTGATATACATGTCATCTGACATCAGTCCATCTGCATTTCCCAGATTGGAAGCATCTAGGGACAAGGAAAAATTTAAGAAAAGAGAAGACACTTGTTTAAGTTTAAAAGCTGCAGCTAACCATAAGTTTAGTATCAGCTGATACAGGTAACAGTGGAAGGAGCTAAAGTTTTTAAACATGTTTACTGGAACAGGATTCACTGCAAGTCTGTCATTTGTTTATGAGGAGAAGTCTTGTGTACCCATTTAGGCCTGACCAGACATCTCTAAGAAATTTTATGAGGAGATTCGCTAAGTGGAAAATACCTCTTTGTGTGCTGGACTTATGGGCTGGCAAATACAATTTTGTCCTCCATTCACATGTCTTGTGACTCCTCCTAATCCATCTGACTTGAGGGGAAGAGATGTGTGGGGCTGTTCAGACAAACTCCCATTCCATATTACACATTTATATCTTATTTATTTATGTCTTTCACATGTATACTTTTGCAGGATTTTGCAGAGCTCCTATTTTTTGGTGGTAAAAAGGACTGCTAGTTGTGATAAGAAAGTATTATTATTAATTATTAATAACTATTATTATTGCTATTTGTGTGTAACAGCTTCCTGGATACAGCTTTATATGTGTTCTTGCTCTGAATTCTCCTAGGAGAGTAAATGAGTTTGAAGTTTATAGAAAGTGAACCTCAGGACAAAGCTTTTTCTTTCATTTTTGTTTGGATTGAGAGTCTTTAGCAGAGCTTTGTGGGAAGTCCAGGCCTGGGGGAATGAAAAGCAGCAGTGAGAAATGAGTAGTGTGCGAGGCAGTAAGGTCTGGAATAGCAGCTGTTGTTGGGAGGCTCTGTGAAGGTTCAAAGAATATTGGGTTGACATGGAAACTGTCATGCCTCGATGCAGGGAGTGAGCAGTGTCGGCAGAAGTTTCACATTCCTTTTTGGTCATTGACATTCACAGGCAGAGGATGAGGATAATTCATTGACCTTAACTAGTGAGACCAACATGGCCACAATATCAAGTCTGAGCCCAGGCAAGATCTACGCCTTCCAAGTGCGCGCTAGGACAGCAATCGGCTACGGTCCTTACAGTGGGAAGATGTATTTCCAGACTTCAACAGGAGGTAAGTGCTGCCATTTTGTGCTGAGCTCTGCATGTGATCACCTTCCACTTGCCTGTGTCCCTGACTGTATTGGCTTATCCTCTGGAGGGCTGCTACCAGACACTCCTACTCAACTTGTATTTCTGTTTATAGTAATTTGCATATACAGATTTGTTCCCTCAGAGAAGCTCCATGCTGCCAGAGGGCATTGTTTGTGCTACTGCCATATTCTCCAGCCCTGCTCCTTGTTGTGCCTGTCCTTGTCTGTGCCTCTGACCAGCAGGTGCAGAGTGTGCCAGTAAAAATCTCTTTAGGGGAATGTGGCAGTACATAGCATTACACACTGCTGTATTTTGGCCCCCAGCTGTCACGGGATATCTTACAGCTGAAAGCTCTGCCAGTGTCTAAAAGACAGGTGGGACATAGGACACAAAGGTAGGTGGGACACAGGTATATGTGCAGAAGCTTGCCTTCCAGCAGGATCACCATCCTTTTGGTATGGATCAAAGGTACTCAAGTATGTCCCTGGCAAGCTACATTAATAGGGGACAGTGGGATTGCAGCCCAGGTGTAGAGCTAGCCTGTGCTAAAGTGGCTTGTCAGCTGTCAGTGGACCAGGGGAAGAGAAAGGGGATTCAAAGGGAGCACTGGCATTTCAGAATGTAGGAAGGAAGGCACTGGAGAAGCACAGTGACTGGGGAGCAAAGGGCTGGTAGGGATGGAATTATGGGTGAGATCTAGGTGAGAAGAAGGGAAACTCCACGTTTCCTGTCCTCTGCATCCAAGTGCGTGTATGTGTGTCTTCCTTGCCAGGGGAGCGCTCGGAGATGGTGCAGGACCGACTGCCACTGATCGTGGGCTCAGCGCTCGGGGGCCTGGCCTTCTTGGTAATTGCTGCCATTGCCATCCTTGCCATCATCTTCAAGAGGTGAATTCCTTGACCTGCTCATGTGCACTTCAGACAGTGGAACTTCCTTACCCCTGCAACATAACCCCGTCCCAAGGGATACAGCCTGATCTGCATTTATCCAGATGTCCTTGAGATGCCATTCTCTAATTAAGGAAAGATCCTGCCCCAGTACTCCTATCTGAGGAGCCTCTCCTTTGGTAAACCACTCATGTACTTAGCTGATATTTGGCTAGTTAGTAATATGAACACAAGGAAATAATTTTGAAGCTGGTACTCAAAAGGTATTTAAATCCATCGCTGTGAAGCAGGGACTGTAAATTGCATTTTAGGCAAGCAAGTGGAGAATGAAACAATGTAGTGGAGAAAGACTGGTGGAATAAGTATGCATATCCAGTTATTTAGAAGGTGATAAATACCCTTTTACCAAGGACCAAGACAAGGGCTCATTTGCTGAAGAATAAAATCTATACAACCCAATGGTTCCATGGAACACTAGCTCATAAAATACAGGTTAAAGAAAGCAAATATCACTTCCCATTTTGGGAAGAATAAAGGGCATATAAAAGATTGTAGAGATAATATCTTACAGGGAAAAAAAAAAAAAGAAATTTTAAAGAGAAAAAAGTAAGGGTTGCTATTTTTGTAGAGGTACAAAAGTAAACAATGGGGGTTTTGTTATTTGAAGAAAAGAAACAGTCATTACCCGCTCCTTGAATTTACTGAGGTTTGAACTTAATCCCCTAGATTGTCAGTAATGGATCTCTGTATCTTTGCTTTACTGTGCCTTTGCACAAGAGGGACTTTTTAGCTTTTTCTGCTGACCTAAAAAAATGTATAAACAACTTTAGAAAGTGACGTCTAGTTTTAATGATTTCTTCTTTGTTCTCTTCTCTTTTTTACATTTGTGTTCTCCTCTTGTGTATATTCTCTTAATATTTTTCTTTTTGGAAAGAAAATAATTATCAAAAACTGTTATATTTGAAATGTTGCCTCCTTTTGTTGCTTTGAACTGTTAAAAATACAATTTCTTGTTACAGCTGGAAATGTGATATTATGTGCACAACTCAATAAAGCATATATTTTTCTAAAAAAAATAAACCAAACCCAGAATAAGTTAATATTATCAAAACTGTGTTGGGGAAAGGCATTAATGGCATCTGTAAATATACATATGAGGAAATATAAAAAATACATTCATTTATACTTAAAGAATTATGTACAGTTAACAGACAGTTTTTCATAAAAAGTGGAGATACCAAATTTCTTTTTTAAATTTGTCCTTGATAAGAAAAGTAAGTTTGAATATGCAGAAAATGAGGAACACCAGATGAAATGAGTAGTTCTTTAAAAGGTTGAACATATGTAGAGTCAAATGCTATGGTTTTAACTTGTTTTTATAAAATGTTGGTACACATTTTTCAGGCAATATGCATTGTGAAACACCTATTTTAGCTAATTGTTTTGGTGGCTTTTTATATGGAAAACAATTAATTTGTTAGATAACCTACAAAAAACATTTTTGTAGACCTGGCTTTCAGGTTCAACAATGGAGTTAGAGCTCTTAGGTACAGGCCCCCAGCAAAGCCAATTTCTTTGCACAAGAGGAAAGATTTTGAAGGCAAAACTGTGGTTTTGAAAGCAGAATTTAAAGAGATAAGTCTGACAAGTAAGAATAATACAGTTAGCTGTTAGAATGTCAGAATTACTTATGTTCATAAAGAAAACTAACATAATGTTTCATGATACTTTGCCTTCAAATGCTAATTGAATCAGCAGCTAAAAGGTCTCATGCTGAAACAGCAAAACATGAGTTGACACAAATCCATGCAGACAGCAGGGATACTGCAGGATACTGTAGAGTTTGGTTTACAATCTGGTCCCTAATTAATAGGATGGTTGGAAACTAGCATGAAATGTACATTTTAAAAAAAATTGGAACAAAGGAAGTAGCTTGAAAATGGCAAATAGATTTAGTGCAAACAAAGAATAGAATGAAACTTCTAAAATAATTAGATTGTGTGGGAAATAAATTATTGAACCATACACATTCAGAAGGAGAATGAAATCTGAGAAATGCCTATGCTGAGAAGGACCTATGCTTACTGGAAATTAGATGCATATATGCAATAAACCTTACAATAATAAAGACCATACCTGCTTTGATCTGCACATGCAAAATCAAGGAACAGATCAAGGAACAGATTTCCATCTGTTTGGGTCTGTGTGGTTTGGTTTGGGTACCATACTTACAAGTAGAAGGGCCAAAGTAAATGCTGTTAAACAAAGCCAGGAGGAAAAATAATTGGGGGAGCTCTATATATATTAAGCATTAGAGTAAATGTCTGTCAGAATGTTTTTGAAGAACTTAAAAGGCATCACAGAAGAAGGCATACATTATAATTGAAAAGAATAATTTGTTGTAATTAAATTAAATTAAAATGTAAATTTAGCCTGGATAGCAAGAAAACTTCCAAGGCAGTAACATTAAACTGTAATATTCTTTTTCAGGATAGTGTTGGAAGCCCTATCATTTGTCATTTCTAAAGTGGGGATGCCAACAATGGTACAAAAACCACCACATAGAAAACAAGCATGCACTGGTTACCAGGAGATGGGCAGGATCTTAACATCCATCTTCTACCCCTAATTTCAAGGATTCTCTGAGCCTTGCACTGAGAAGCCTACCCCAGCATCTGATGAGAGACTCTTGTGTGTGTTTTGACTTTCCTTTCCTTTGTGTCCTGCAGTAAAAGGCGAGAGACTCCATACACAGACCGCCTGCAGCAGTATATCGGTGCACGAGGTAAGTGTGTTTGAGCAACAGATGGCAAGGGTCTGTCTCTTCAGGACTCATTAACACCTGTCTGTCTCAGGGTTTGATTCTGGTGATGTTTTGGGCTGTTTCCCCCACTGCAGGACTTGGAGTGAAGTATTACATTGATCCTTCAACCTATGAAGATCCCAATGAAGCCATTCGAGAATTTGCCAAGGAGATTGATGTGTCCCTCATCAAGATTGAGGAGGTCATTGGATCAGGTAGTGTGAGAATCTGCAGATTATTTAAAGTGCCTTCTTGTTCACCTTGAGACCTGGCACACTACTTGCCTGAAATGGACCCTTGGATCCATGGTACATCAAGTGTCCTAGGATATCTAAACATTTATTTTTAACCTGCCAACCCTTAGATGCTGGCTCTAAACCAAGTTTAAAACACCCTTAGAAGACTCAGAACTCCTCATTTGAACCCTGAAGATGTAGTAGTCTCCAACCTTCACCAAAAACTTTGCCTTACTCTATACGATCTCATAACCCTATTTCCAAGCATCACCCAAAGTTGTCCACAGTAGAATGCTTTACTACATCTGACTAAAATCCATTGCTGTGTTTCCTTATTTGAGGTGTGTTTCTCCCCTCCCTGACAGGAGAGTTTGGAGAGGTGTGCTTTGGGCGCCTAAAACACCCAGGGAAGCGTGAATACATGGTGGCTATTAAGACCTTGAAGTCCGGTTACACAGAGGAGCAGCGGCGGGAGTTCCTGAGTGAGGCCAGCATCATGGGGCAATTTGAGCATCCCAATGTCATCCACCTGGAGGGGGTGGTCACCAAGAGCCGACCAGTCATGATTGTCACAGAGTTCATGGAGAATGGATCGCTGGATTCCTTCCTCAGGGTACCACAGAGTCTTCCACAACCATTAACCTCTCCATCTTGCTGTGTGCCAGTTTCAGGCCTGATAATTTTTCCTGTCCTTCCTCTACACTCCTGTCTCCCTAAGTCCTCAGTTGCCCTCTTCAGGTGCAATAGAAATGATAGCAAATAGCCACAGAAAGTGATTTCAGGCCAAATGGTGAAAATACTCCAAGGGCTCAACAACCATATAAAATTTCAGTATTTTAGACTTCTTCAACTCCAGTAATTAATGTAAACAGTACCAAATCTTTGTACACACCCTTTCAGTTGCTTATGTCCATGTTCCAAATTTTTGCTTTCTAATAATGTTTTTCAGACTTTATTTCACAGAATATTTTCAAGTTTCAACATTCTAATGAATTAATGAAACCTGTGGTTATTTTTGGATTTCAAATTTTCTAGTAATGGAACACAAATATGGACAATCTGTGTAGTATAGCTACTTCACTTCTCCTTTTTACTGATTCATGTGCTCATTCAGCCACAAATGCTTTGGCAGGAACAATTTGAAAAGCACATGAACCCCTTGAGTAGAACTGCATAGAAGCCATTGAAAAGATCTCAGTAAAAGCAGATTTGTCTGCTGGCATTCATTTAGCCATCTTAGTAGTTAGTGAGGTTAGGTGTAGGATGCTAAAGGTGGATGTGGCCACAAGAGGAGGTTTGCCTTCAAGAAAAGATCACCAATGTCTGATTTTATTTGAGGTTCATTGCTTTAAGCCCACCCTCCTTTGTTATTTGTTGTCCTTGAACCTTCAGATTTGGGCTGAAAGGCAGATATGTGTTCTCTAACTTCATAAATCCACCTTGTTACCTTGCTCTTTGTTAGTCTCCCCTGTTGGCTTCATGTTCTGTGGCCATGAGAGCCTGTGTTTGCCTCATCCCTTGCAGCAGAAGGAAGGGCAGTTCAGCGTGCTGCAGCTGGTGGGAATGCTGCGGGGGATTGCAGCCGGCATGCGCTACCTGTCAGACATGAACTATGTGCATCGTGACCTGGCAGCACGAAACATCTTGGTCAACAGTAACCTGGTGTGCAAGGTGTCAGACTTCGGGTTGTCCCGCTTCCTGGAGGATGATGCTTCCAATCCCACCTACACTGGGGGTCTGGTGAGTCACTGCTGTGGTGGGAGTTGCTGTAGTGTTGACAGAATTTTTTTATGTGTTCCTCCTTGGTTTGGGTGTACCCTCTTTAGTCCATCTTGAGACCACAGAGAAGCGTGGAGTAGAGCCTTCTGTCTTGTGGGCTATTTGCTCCAAAGCAGTAAGAATCAAAAATAACTGAGTATCTGAGCCACTCTGCCATGGGAAGTCTCAGTGCTGTTCTTTGTGGCATGATGGTGAATAGGTCAAACCTCACAGCCTGATGTAGCTATTATCTTCCCCCTTTCATTACCTTTTTATAGGACGGATAAGGGGCTGATGGAGAGATTACAATCCTGTACTACCACTCTTTGAAGAAAGAGCTGGGTTTTTTCCTACAGAAAAGATAAATGGCCTAACTGTATTTATGGGCTTACAACCAACCATCAAATGAGCTTACTGCCTATGAAGTTGTGACACCTGTCACACATACTACAAAAGGGGTGGGAGTGTAGCAGGTGGATTGAAAAAGAAGGGGATGAAGAGTTCAGTCAGTGAAAAGTGGAGCAATTTTTAGATCTGTGCATTTTGAAGAACCAGCACCTGAATGATATTTCATCTTACAGGTCATACCTGTTAGAGTATATACAGTTAGAGAGGTCAACATGGACAGAGAAAGGAGTTAATGCTAGCTACTCAGTGTATCTGTCCCTAGTGCTGCAGTTTGGCATTATTTAAATGGCTTTAGATTTCTAAATGATTCTGACTCAGGAGGATTTTGCTATATGCCACTTTCAAATGCTGCAAAGTAAAGCTGTGAAAGTATAAAATCATGTGATTTGTAGCAGCAAGGAGGCATTATTCTCTCTTTTCATTTACACTTGTCACTAAAACAAGGTGGAAGCCTTGAACATAGTATGAATTTAAACCAGCATTGTTTCCAAGAAAGAATCAACGGGACTGTCACTCCATGCTCCAGGTTGTGTTGTGCTGCTAACATCTGATTGTTTCAGTGATGTTGTTTTCACAAGCAGTCCTCATCTCACTACATTCTGGTTGCTTTCTGTCTGCTTCCCAGGGCTGCAAAATTCCCATCCGCTGGACTGCCCCTGAAGCCATCCAGTACCGCAAGTTCACCTCCTCCAGTGATGTCTGGAGCTATGGCATTGTCATGTGGGAGGTGATGTCCTACGGTGAGAGGCCTTACTGGGACATGTCCAATCAGGATGTAAGTTTTAGAAGTGGTGAACATGTACATCTCCCTCTCTGTCCTGTGTCTGTCAGTTCAAGCAGAAGAAAGTCGCACACACCGAGTGATTGAAGCTCTTTTGTCTTTTATTTTCCCAGTTGTGATGAAGCTTTGTTCTTGTTTTCCTGCAGGTAATTAATGCCATTGACCAGGACTATCGCCTGCCACCACCCCCAGACTGCCCTACTGTTTTGCACCTGCTGATGCTTGACTGCTGGCAGAAGGAGCGGGTCCAGAGACCCAAATTTGAGCAAATAGTCAGTGCCCTGGATAAAATGATTCGCAAGCCATCAGCCCTCAAAGCCATTGGCACTGGGACCAGCAGGTAAGATGGGGATTTAATGCAAAATAATAGGACTTGTCTCTTAGTAGGCATCATGAGGAAAAGAAAGCCATAAATCAGGCTATTTATTTTTTTTTCTAACCCTCTCATTTGAGACTGAGAACAAACAGGAAGTGGAAAAAAAGAGAGGAAGCAGGTTGGAAGAACTATATATCCTGATTCAGTTAATGGAGAGCTCTGAGTGCTGAATGTGACAGGAGATAAATCTTGATGAGTTGCACTGGGGTGAATGACTGAGGGATCATAGGGAACAAAGGGAGGGACATACCTGGGTGCACCAGCACAGGATATTATGTGATCACACCCTATTGTGTGACCATAAGAGATAATGAAGTAAAAGAAGACCTTAGCTTATGGAGGGAAGGAAGTCTCTACATAAGAATAATTAGAACTGCAGCTTACATCCCATATTTTCCCAACTGCATTTTGCAGTCTGATGGAACAAGAGGCAGGAGGTCAGCAAAGAAGAAGTCTCTGGAGGGATAAATGGTGCCAAGGTTAGTTGGCTGCTGGGCTGATGACGAAGTTACATCCTGCTGCCCTGGAGGGTTTTTCCCTGTGGTTATAAATCTTGTCTCAGTGGAATGTACTCCACAGCTGGAGGAGGGGAAAAGTATCTATTGATGGCCAGTTTACTAAAAGCAGCTCATAAAGAGTGCTATAGCTTTGAGACAAATTCAGATGATGAGGAAAAGAGCAAATGCCGTATGTAAACAGTTATCTCTTTGGCCTTTTACTGCAATTCTTTTATCTGATGGGTGTTGGAGCTGAAACAACACACTTGTCTCATAGGTCGCTATCTGACCTTAAGAGAACATTTAGGAGAGAGAGACCTAGTCACAAAGGTAAAAAGGTGTATGAGGTCTCATGTCTCTTTCAGAAACCTCCTCACTGCAGTTCTTTGCCCAGCTAATAGGTCTAGACCAAGAAAGCATGGAAGGATCTTGGGCAACAAGAAGAGAATGCACCTGAGAGAGTATGGGCAATGGGAAAGGAGAATCAAATTCTTGAGTTGGTTGATTGTTTTCAGACAGGAAAAGGGACACTGGAAGCTTAGAAACAGCGCATCAAGGTGGGACTTAAGGAGTCAAGGCACAAAGAACAAATGTCATAGTTCTTCATTCTGTCCTCTTCAGAGGCTGCATTCTCTCCCTCTCATAATTCTTCCTTTACTAGTGTGCTGAGCTGATGCTGGTAACTTGGGTTTTAGAACCTGTCTCTTTTGCAGACCATCTCAGCCTCTCCTGAGCAACTGTCCTCCAGATTTCCCGTCCCTCAGCAATGCCCATGAGTGGTTGGATGCTATCAAGATGGGCCGCTACAAGGAGAATTTTGACCAGGCCGGTCTGGCTACATTTGATGTCATATCACGCATGACTCTGGAGTAAGTAACAGAGCAGAGAGCAACAGACACCAGACATCATCCATACTGTGATACACTTGTAATCTGTATCTATGTCTATATCTATATCTATATCTGTCACTAATTCTAATCCAGTGTGCATCAGAAAATGTTTTGCCAGTGCTGCAGAGACCCTGTTCATGACAGCTAGCACAGATAATAACAACCACTTTTAAGCAGATGTGTAGAACCAGCCACACCATATACTGGGTTGAAGTAAAAGACAGGAAAGTGAACATTCTCATAATCATAGAATGCTTTGGGTTGGAAGGGACATTTAAAGACCATCTAGTCCAACACCCCTGCCATAAGCAGAGACAGCTTTCACTAGATGATGTTGCTCACACCACTGTGCAAACTGACCTTGAGTGCTTACAGGGATGGGACATCCACAGCTTCTCCTGGAACCTTGTTTCCATGTCCCACCACGCTTCCTTACCTCCAGTCTAAACCTACCCTCTTTCTCCTTAAAACCACTGCCCCTTGTCCAGTCACTACAGACCTGGTAAAAAGACATTCTCCATGTTTGCTGTAAGCCCCCTTTACAAATTTAGAAAGATCTTTCCGGAGCCTTCTCTTCTGGCTGAACAACTCCAACTATCTTTTTTCTCTGTAGATCAGCCCTCTGATCCTTTTCGTGTCCCAATTCCACTGCTTTTTTGTACCTACCAAGTTCTGCCAACACCCCCTCCACCCACACACATTTGTCAAGCAAAAGCAGAAGCCTTGTCAGCTGTTTCTCAGACACAAGTAGGCACACACACACATATCCATACATGTTGATTTGCATCTACAGCAAAATGGACTGAGACTGTTCAGAACAAGCAGTTCGTTTTAATAACTTCTGTGTCCTCTGTTCTTTTGCAGAGATATCCAGCGTATTGGAATCACCCTCGTTGGTCACCAGAAGAAGATTCTAAACAGCATCCAGCTCATGCGAGTCCATTTGAATCAACTTGAACCAGTTGAAGTGTGATGTTTACATCATCCTCATTCCACTAGTCTCAAACTCTGGAAAGGTTCTGGGGGAATTCAGAGGGATTTTCAATGTAAGAAAGAGATGTCAGTATGCTACTTGAAGACTTAATGCACCCAGAGAGTGCACACTACATGTCCTGTTCCATGAACAAAAACAAAGCCTTGCTGTGATTTGAAAGCAGAGCTAAATGACTGGTGACAATTACATGTGGCTGATGTCACACATTGGGAATGGGCTTGGGGTGGGAAGGTTATAATAACATGGGGTGGAGATGGAATAACGGCTTGGACAGATCACAAGCACCTGTTGCCTATTGTCTGCCAACAAAAGGTATCTGACAACTTTACAAAGTCATCAGCAGGCTTTATTTATGGCTGAGAGCCCAGCAAAGCTGAAAAGACATAATAAAGGCAACAAAAAATTAGCATTTTTTTCAGAAGAATGCCATCGTGGTGTGAGAGATTATTCCTCAGATGGAGATGAGCATCAGGCTATCACTTGGTGTGCCAGCCGAGTTTGGAACTGAAGTTCCAGCTAGTGCACAGTACGTGGTAAGCAAAAACAGATGTCACCTGGTAAGCAGGTTCAGAGTAAAGGGTTCAAAATTCAATGCTATTTCGTGTGCAGTTCTTGGGTCTGCTCCATGATGGGAATTGCTAATCTTTTGTGCTGTTGTGAGGAACAGTCCATCTCTATTTATGGGACTGCAACAGAATTAATAAATAACAATTCTTAGAATCCATCCTGCAAGACCTGCAAGTGAAGGGGGAAACAAATAAGTTCTGGTTCTCACAAACCCATTCTTGTGAGGAAAGGCTTAACCTGTGATACTCCAGATTCTGAGTGATACTGATTCTGTGATACTGAGATTCTGAATACCCAGATCATGGGTTTCATTTTCTTCTGAACCCCTTACAATGCAAAGCAGAATGAAAAAAATCTGAAACCTTTGCTGCTGAAAAATACTTTCTTTTTCTCACCCTGGCCATTAGGCACAGTTGTTTGAATATTGTTTTTGAAGAAAATGTAGACATGCAGTAGTCAGCTTCAAGCAGACAGCTAGAATGAGTGAGTTGAAACTCTTTCACAAGTTTTTGTCAAGAGTGATCAGGGAATGGTCCCAGTCCTGTAAGTCACTTCAGACCATAAGAAAGGGCTAACAATGTTCTTGGGATCATCAGTGTTGTTTGGTACAGGCACATGAGAGTGACCAGAATGGCAGAGCTTTGGGACTGTATCTCTCTATAAATCTATGAAGTTGAGCTTGAGAGGAAAACTCATGAACTATACACTTGTCTACCTCATCAACATATAGGAAAGGAAATGGAAATGGCCCAGTAAACAAGACCCCAGTTGTGATACCCTCTGTGTATGTCTAGAGGGGAAGTAACCTCAACTGTTCTGATCTGTGCTCATCTGTTGGCTTTCTGTGAACTAGACATGAACCTCGTGTATTTCTCCAGCTGTCAAGGTTGGAACATCACAACTTCTTCACATTCTACTCCTGTATGTATTTAAAGATTCCCTCAGTAAACCTAACAGTTGAAGACAAGCTATGTTTAAGAGTGACTCAAGAGCCCAATATTATGATGGGAGATGCTCCAGAATAGTTGCACTGGAATAGCCAGTGCAGTTAAGACTCTTTGTTGCAGCATTAGAGTAACATTATTTTTTTTTTTTTTTTTAGCTGAAGAGGGAGAATAGCAGTGCATTTTTCAATATATTAAAAAGTCAATACAAAAACAATAAAAGGAAACATGAATAAAACATTCATGACAGTACAAAGTGAGTGTGAAGATTAAAAAAAAACCCCAAATCACATCCAACTAGAGTCCAACCTAGAAAATCTCAGTCTGTGCTTTTTAAGGGGTTTCTGGAAACTTGTAATACTCACACATCCAGTCACATGTATGCTGACTGACTGTCAGCTCCACCCACGGCATCTGAGACAGAACAAGTGTTGTCCTCTTCAGAAAGCATATTGAGCACAAGATGTTGAGGGGAATCTGTGGTCTCTAGCACCTTCCATATATATTCACCCGAGGACAACAGTGCATATATGCATCTTCATGTATGAGTGTATTCTAGAAGTTCTGTGTGCGATTTGAGGAAACAAGGCAGCATTTCTTTTCCATGCCTTGAGTGGTCAGGATTACTGGAGAGATTAGCAGTCTAGGTCAAATTCTATGGCCTCTTTTCAGCCTAGTAGAAACTTAAATGCAGAAAAAACATTTTCGCTCTCCCTTCATGCAATAGGAGATTAAATGGGAGCCTTGCCTGAATTCTGTTGTGTTGACAATGACACTTAGAACTGCACAAGGAACAGGCTTGGCATCACATTTCAGTGCAAATGGATAACTATTCTGTAAGAAGTGTCTCCATTCTCTTTATTCCCAGTGTGTTCCCAGTTTTCAGGTGTTTATTCTCTTACACAATTTGGGATGCAAAGGTTCTCAAGTTGGAATGCAGCTTGTGTTATTTGCCATCATGTCACTCCTTAACTCTGCAAGCATGGAGGAAAGGAAGTTATGGCAAAAAGGAATACCCTGATTTTACTTTTCTCAATCATCTGAAACCAGAAAGTGTACATTCTGTTTCTACAGTTATCTGGGATGTTCTGCAGTATTATGAGCACCCTCAACAGGTAGGCATGAGAATGAGGAGGGAAAGGAGTGGGTTCACCTAGGCACCTGATGCCTGCCCATCACCAGAAGAGTGAGAAACAATGCCAAAAAAGTCTTACAGAGCTGTGTTCTCTGCCAGAGAAGCAATGGGAGACTAATAGGTTATTGCCCACCTTTATGTGATTTCTGTAACAGGCAGTTCACAAGAGTAATGAATAAACTAAATGCACAGGGGTCAGTGGACAGACCTTCTTAAGGGTGTTAGGCATTGGTATGAAAGCTCAGAAGAGTCATGCCTATAGCTAGAAAGAATATATTTCAGAGATTAATGTCTTTTGTGCTTGAACACCAACTTTTCACTGTCGGGAAACAGGAAGAAACTTCACCTTAAGGCAAGCTGTTTTGTAATTATTCCTGATGAGGTTCCTTGAACCTGTCTTTTTGGTGTCTGTTGCTGGACAGCCTCCCAGACAGATAATTGGATCTGCACCAGGATGTCAGTTAATATTCTGTGCTGCCAGAGAGCACGTCGGGCAAGCAAGTTCCCACCTATGCTGCTTTGGCAGCCAAGTGAAATTCTCAGGTGGGAGTTACATGCCTGTGCACTCCTGCCTCACTAAGCCATGGCATGTTTCTGCCAGAAGCAGGCCCTGCTCACCAGAGTGTTCAAAGACAAGCACGTAAACTAAGACTTTTTCTTCCATGCCTGAAATTATTTGAAGGAAAGGCTCAATGACTTACATGACTTACACAGTGATTTCTGTGCTTTGCACACAAGTAGCTTCAATGCGTGTGTGGGTGAAATGGCTGAAGTCCCTGGTTTCTTGTTTGCTAGTTTGTTTGTTTAAAATTGAAGGGTGTAATCTTAGTGCATGCTTCAACAACACAGTGTTAGGGCTAATTGAGTGAGCACGAGCTACTCAGTGGAGAGAAATGCTGATTGAGTCTGTTTGGCACAAATATATTCAGCACCTAGGGCTATCTAGAAAGAAAGAAGCTGCTGTAGCTAGTCCCAGACAATTCATATGTTATGAGGCTGAATGAAAACCTGTGGGTGTGGTGGGAAATGGTGAACACCACCAAGGAACTTGGCTTTACTAAACAAACAAGGTGTCCCTACCACTGAATCTTCCTTGGTCCTGATTGCAGCCAACAAGTCTACCTGAGAGCTATTCCAAGTGAAGGTAACCAGCTTGAATCTGTCCTGCTTTTGGCACATTTTCTCACCAGCTGGCTACACAGAATACTTCTTAATGAAGAATTTGTGACTTCTACATGGAGTTCATGTCTTCTACACCTAGAGATGCAGCTAGGCAGTAGATTTGGGTTCAGAACAAAAGTGATGAATTCTCTTCCTGAAACCAGGTGATGCTAGAGGGGCAATGCAATCAGCTGATCACATGTGTTGAGTGTTAGCAGCTGTTCACGAGTACCAGGCATCTAGAGGATTGAAGATCACACATAAATTCAAATCTTTGGATATCATTAAAAGACAGCATGGAAGAGCAAACCACATTGCCCTACCTAAAAGCTAGTCTAATCTTTCGCTCTTCAAATCTGTATGGAAAAAATGACACCTCTCAGAATTTACGTTTTGTTGTGGCATTCAAGGTCATCATTCAAGGTCATGTGGCCTTTGTGTAAAGCTGTTCCACTTCAGTGTTGCTGAAAGGGCTGCGCTGAGCTAATGAAAAGCCACTGTGTCTTTTAGACCTTGCAGAGATGTAACTGGGACCTGTTCAAAGAGGAATCGCTCCCCCTGGTGTGCTGAAATACAGAACTGAAGTGTCCTGGTGTGCTCAAGTACAGAACTGCCCTCAAAAAGCCCTGGAGCTTAGCTATTTCATTTCCCTTTCCTGGGTGATGAGAAAACTCTCTTCCTGAAATATTCTCAGCTGAAACATGCAGATTCATGAAAATATACTGAGGTTTCCTTCTGGTTTTTCCCATAACCTCTCTTCCTTGAACAGAGTAACATGGTCTTTCACTCAAGTGCTGCAAGAGCAAGTCACTGGTATGAGTGCAATGGGTTGACATCTATGCCCTAAATAGTTAATAGTTTGGCCTGTTATTTATCTCTCTCATACAAAACCAAGTGTGCTTAGCTGACAGTGATAAAGCTGTTTGCTTCTGAAAACTAATTCCTTAAATTCAGGCCATGCTAAGTAAGGTTGGATTTTTTCCAGTTTACAGTGACACCAGAAACTGCACAGGCTGCTGGCTACAACTGGAGTTTGAATTACATCTTTGCAACTCTCATCGAATTTTGGACACTTTTAGCCAAATCTACTACTGCCTATGCATTTGGACAGCTGGAACAGATTGATCATTTATAAACAATTCTGTTGCTGAGATCAGACTCTTGCCCTCTTTGAACCATACTAATTCTGCAAAGTGAACAGGCGATTAAAAATAAGAAAGTCAGATTTATTTGGAGAAGTCAGCTAGTTGGACAGATATGAATGACAAGGCACTCTCTGAAATAAGCTATTTAAAAATAGATCTATTCATGTTGCTCTGTTAGAAAAGAGTAATTAAAATGTGCCTTACTGTCTCTAATATTAAGGTAGAAGAGGGAACATTGATCTTTACCGTCCAGGACAGTACACTTCACCTCTTGACCCACTGTTGAATTTAACTTATATTTGACTGAAGAATTTTTGCTAGAAAGGCATCTAATCGTGGTTAATTCAGGAATAATGAATCTACAAATCACCTTGGACTGTTTTTTCCCATGGCTGTGATAATTTTTAATTGCAGTTTGCCTGGCGCTTTTTGTATACTACCCATTTTGGATAAAGAGCTCTTTGTAATCTGATACTTCTGCATTTTCCACAATCATTGGGTCACATACTTGCTTCTTTATATTCTAAAAAAATGAAATAGTTACATGTCTCCCTGTCACATATCTTGTTTGGTCCTCCCATCCTTGTTGTGGTTCTCTTCTTCATCACATTTTCTGCCCTCCTTTCTAAGAAGAGCATATGAAGG